GTTTTGCTCTTGTTGCCCAGGCTGGAATGCAGTGTCTCAATCTCAGCTCACCACCACCTCGCCTCCCGGGTTCAGGCTATTCTTCTGCCTCAGCCTCCCAAGTAGCTGGGATTACACGCATGCACCACCACGCCCGGCTAATTTTGTATTGTTGGTAGAGATGGGTGTTTCTCCATGTCAATCAGGCTGGTCCCAGACTCCTGACCTCAGGTGATCTGCTTGTCTTTGCCTCCCAAAGTGCTGGGATTACAGGCGTGTGCCACCATGCCCAGCGATCAAAATGTTGTCTACACTGACTTTTTATTTTAAAAAGTTGTCATCTGATAGGGATGGTTTATTTTATGAATTATGCTAAAGAGATAAATCCAAATTGTACACACTGGAACGTGTTGCTTTTATTTACACTTAAAGAAAATATCAACTCATGACCTACATGTAGAAAAATCTTCTCCTCGCGATGCCATTACACTTGTAAAGTGGAATGAGGTAACTGTCGGGCTGTCTGAAGAATACAAGTAAGTTTATTTGTTTGTTTACTTAATACTGTCACAGCTAATTTTTTATTTTATTTTATTTTATTTTTATTTTTTTTATTTTCAGTAGAGACAGAGTTTTGCCATGTTGGCCAGCCTGGTCTCGAACTCCTGACCTCAGGTGATCCACCTGCCTCGGCCTCCCAAAGTGCTGGGATTACAGGCATGAGTGTGGTGGCGGGTGCCTGTAATCCCAGCTACTTAGGAGGCTGAGGCAGGAGTATTGGTTAAACCCAGAAGGCAGAGGCTGCAGCGAGCTGAGATCGTGCCACTGGACTCCAGCCTGGGCAATGAAGCGAGACTCTGTCCAAAAAAAAAAAAATCACAATTTTTTCTTCTTTTTGAAATAATCTGGAAACACACCTGTGTTTATGGATGTGGCATGGAAATTGATCACAGGCTCTCAGAACTCACTGGGAGATAGTGGAGGAGGCAGGAGGGCACACAGAGTAATGATGAGAGGATGCAACATCCAGTGAGGGTTAGGAGAAACATCCCAGCCAAAAAGCATCTGGAAGAAACTGAGGATGACTCAGTCCCTGTGCAGGTCACCTCCGTCTGGCTTCTGTCCACAGGGAAGCAGTTGTAACTTGCTCAAGCCAAGGGCAGCTGTGTGTTTTCCCAGGCCCTCTGGGCCAAGGAGTGGGTCTTAGGAGAGCCCAAATGGGCATGTGTGTTTCCTTCAGTTTTGATCCTAATCTATAGTCATTACTTTAATAGCACTTTATAGGTGTGCAGAGCTTTATGGAAAGTTTTATGGGCTATTTCTCATCCACAGCCCCAGGTGGGGCCTGTCATCCACCCACCGCACTGTGTGGCAGAGGACATGGAGGCCCAGGGTGGGCGGTGGTGAAGGGTGGCTGGCTCATGTGGTGACGCTACCTGGGTTTCAGCATCGTCAGATGCCTGTTGGCAGTATTAGTTGGTCTCACTGTTGAAGTTGGTGCTGCCTGATTTTTCCCACTTCACCGTGGTATGGAGTCATTTGTGGTCCAGTTCATACCCATCACGGCCCAGGGAAAGAAAGAAAGAAAGAGCCAAGGAAATCAGGCCAGAGTTAGATGATGCTGAAGACCTTGCTATCCAGATTGGTCACTGTGGCCGCGGCTCATGGCAGTCTGCAGTGTCACCGGCTGCCCAGAGCTCCTGTCTAGCAGTACCTGCCTGGCACATCACCCTGTCATTGCCTCATGGGCATGCTTCATTCCAGGACTCGCTGTGGGGGGTGCCTCCTGTTTCTGGGAGTGGAGGAAGCAGGGTGACAACCGGGCTGCTCTTCCACTGTGCTCAGCTACTGGTGAGAGAGTCGTGCCCAGGAGCCAGAGGCATCTTTGAGTTTTAGTTGCCCATTCTGGGCACATCGCTGCCTCTGGTGCAAAGAACATGTCTTGCTTTGGCCAATGGGAATGGATGGCAACGCGCAGTTAGAAGTTCCTTTTCTGAATCCTGTATGCCACTGTTCCACCCTTTTCCCTGAGGTCCCTGAGCACTGGCTCATTGCCCAGGACACACAGGTAGCACCAGGGTGGATTCACTGTGGCTCCCACGCCAGACCCCTTGCTGCCCAGGGTCCTGGGAGGGGCCTAGTCATGTGTTCACATGGCCACTGGTTTGTAAAAACTTTGCAAAAAGGAACATGCTTTTGTATTCTTTAAGAGGTCCCCACCCCTTGCTCCAACTGTGCATGCTGTGAGCCTCAGGACACTGGGCTCAGCCCCCATGTGAGCACCCCTTGGTTGACCTGTTCTTTCCAGAAGCCTCTCCCGCCGCCCTCACCTGCTGCAGTGTACCCTACCACAGGGCAGCCTGTGGGGCCCAGGAGATTCTCACCTTCTCTCTGTTCCTGTGTTTTCACCAATGCTAATCCTTGATTCCCTGACCTGGGCGACCTTCACTTCGTCACCGTCTGGTGACATCACACTCACTGTCCTAGTCCAGCTCTGATGTGCCCAACCTTGCTCAGCAGAGGGGCCAGTCACTCTCCTCCCCGGGCGTCCCCAGGACTCAGGCAGACCTTGGTTACCACGCTCACGGCCAGCACTGGAACCATCCTCCCTGTGCACCCTCTCCCACAGGTGACCCACAGAGGCTGCTCGACAAATAAATGAATGAACATATAAATTAAAAAATCGCCTGGGAAGCCCTGTAGCTGTGCTGGTTAATCTTGGTGGCAAATACCTCAATGAACCCTTCTGCATCCCTAACTTTACCTCCCATTTCCCTGGAAACCAAGACCCTGGGGCCTTTGTGTGTGTCCTCCTTGGGGCTCTGAGTCTCAGTCCAATGTGGCCATGACTATTCTCCTGCACCTGCTGGAGTGTAGCCTGGCAGAATCAGGGCAGGGGATGAGCATGGGGAGAGCACTCCTCTTCTGCCCTGATGTGGAGCAGAAGAGGGCTGATGGCAGAAGATCGCTGTTATAGCTCTCGTCTGCCTTTCCTTTTGAGGAGGCTGTGCTCCTTGTTTCATCCCAGTGAAAGGAATTTGGAAGAGGGGGAGGGAGGAAGAAGGAAGGAAGGAAGGAAAAGAAGAGAGAGACATCTATAGGAATCTACTTAGCTGTCTGTCTATGTATCTATCATCTATCCATCTATTCATTCACTCCATCTCTCTCTCTGTCTTTCCTTCTTTCATTATCCTTCCATCCACTCCTTAATCCACACACACACCCATCCAGCCAGCCATTCATTCTACCTTTTCTTTCTCATTATTTCTTCCTTTCTTTTCTTTTTTCTTTTTCTCCTTCCTTCCTTCCCTCCTTCCTTCCTTCCTCCCTCCCTCCCTTCCTCACTCACTCCCTCCCTCCCTTCCTTCCTTTCTTCTCTATTCATCCATCCACCTACCCACTCATATCTGTACATCAATCCATCCAGCCATACGTCC